TAATTGATATAGTTTTATAGTTATAGTTTTATAGTTGATTTATTATTAAGGGAAGGGGTATTATGAATTAAAATTAAAATTTATTTCTTTAATATTTTCTTTATATAAGTCTTACAATTGTGCCATTACAAAACAATTCAGGATACTGAAGCCCCCGCTGAATCGAACTTTACAAACTTTACAGACATGACTTATGGGGGTGAATCTCTCTGAATGTAACTGATAATTCATATGTACATAAGTACATTGGTTATAAAATGCTGTTGTTGGCAATAAAAACAGCAGTCATATTGACGCAGTAATGAAACTTATTTTTAGTGATGAGAGATAATTTCTTGTAGGTTGGCTATTCTAGTAATGACAACAGCTAGTGTTGACAGATCATTTTCTGTTATAGAACATATGAAAAAATCGAAATGTAAATGCCACAACAAACTGATTGTGTTTGTTATAAGTGCTTTTCTACATTGCAGGTAATTCATATAATACGATTAAACTTTTATAAAAAAAAATATATGAGACAATTTTAAGATCTATAAGCCCTCTTCGAAGTAAATTTCTGGTTTTGAGCCGTGAGGTCAATAGTACACTGCGACTTATGAGATCTAATAAGAGTAAGAGTAAGAGTTTATTAATTTATCACTATTACAGATATGCTTTTATAACACAATGATCCTCATACAGAGTACATAAAATAGATAGATAGATTAATTAGATTATTTGAGACAATAACTATTAAGTTGTCTGTCTTTATGAGATCTAATATTCTTGCTATTTCTGGAGAAAGTCTCAATGTTTCATTATAATTGAAATAAAGTTCCCAATATATGAGTTCAGGGCAGGGTTTTGGATTAACCTAGTGCTCTACGATTCAAGAGGTTTTATAGGTGCCTGTACATTTTGAGGTAGTTTATAGTAAAGTGTATAGATTGTGCGAAATGAAAAGGATGAAAAACTTCTCATTAACCTAAACAGATTAACTACGATCTCAATTTTTATTATGAATTCATATATGCTTATCGTTACACATAAAGCTTTGTTCTATATAATGCTTTATATATAATAATAGGTCAACAACGTCGCACCCATCTCTTCACAAGAAGGATAATTAAATATATAATTTTTGATGTAATATCTAGATAACAAATAAGGGTGTATCAATTTCTTTATTTTGTGAACCAATGCTGTTTATAATAGAATTACAATAGTTTGACATTATAATCAGTAAAGTCTCAATGTTATAGATTTTATTATATATGGCATTTTTTAATATTTATTTAATAGTAAATAGATGGATATAAATGACATATTACACTTAATATAAATGAATGTAGATGTGAAGATGATATAAAATATTATCAAAATTCATATTTTAGTAGAAACAATATTAGTAGTATTGTAATAATTTTAAATGATTAAATAAATTTTATATAACTTCTTTATATATATATTGTCCCCAAGTATTTTGTACCGAATTTTTTTGTATTCTCAGTAAAGTTTGAATGGATTTTTAATTGTCTAATTAGTTATTCCAATTTTGCATGCTTGTTTTTATAACCTCACATAATTTTAAATTTAAAACTAGAAAACTAATCAATTTCCTCTTTATATTTTAGTTGGAGATATGGATGTTAAATCTGTTAATGATATAGTGTCGGCTGTCGAACAAGATGAGGGTGATGATTTTGAAAAATTGAAAGCTGCACGTGAAAAAGAACGTCTCGAAAGGCAAAAATTAAAATTGGCGCGTACTATAAGTACGGCGCCAGGAGTGGAAGGTACAACAGTTGTTGCAGCAACTATAATACCTGCGGCTGCTATTTCAAACACAACAATGCCTGCAGGAGTAGCGCCTGCCATGGTACCAACACTGGTATCTGTTCCTACCCTAACTAACATTGCCACCGTTGCAGATTTAACAGATGCAGCAACTAATACGACCTTAACTACTGCAACAGGATCTAGAGCAAAATTAACAGACGACAATGAAACACAAACTTAAGTAGTTATTTAATATTTTTCATTACACTTAAGTGTATGCAATAACTCTTCCTAATCGAACCCCGAATAAAAACTATTTTTATAATAAACTATATATTTTATATACTAAAAGAAATAAAAAAAAAACATTTTTTTAAAAACAGCAATTAATATTTTACGCACATTAAAGAGAAAAACAATAATTACTTGGTGCTTTAGTAGATTTATAAAAAAAATGCTCATATATACATGTATTTTTTATATATATTAAATAGAGGTCACAATATTTTATTTAAGTTTGTTTGTATGGAGTCCCCTTTTCTGCTTTGATTAGGGCATAAATTGGCAATAATGATGTAGATTTTATGTAACGGAAGTATTTATAATTATATTCATGCTTTTAAGAATTGAAAAATTACAAAATAATAGTTTTAAATATTTATATAGAGAATTGCCTCTCCAGCAATATTAGCTTAGATACTCGTAGTTTTAGTATGTTAAAATTATTTTCTAAATACTAAATTTTAGTAGTTTACACTCATTACACATGTAAGCTGTATAACACGAAAACAGTTTTATAATTTAAATTTTTGCTTTTATAAAATATAAATAAAATTAAGCATACTTTAGACAATATGTATATTTTAAAATAAATATTGAATATATAAAAATACAAATGAATTAATATATATATCTAAAATACGTATCAATTATACGTAATACGTTTACATATATGTATATATAAATCTTTGTACATTAAATATATATATATACAGTACTTCTCTCATAAACCAAACTTCAGGGGATCGGAAAAACAATTCGTTTTCAATAAAACGTATATAAAACATTTATTTATTGTTTGTACTTTTATATGCTACTATTTTTATTTATTTAATTCACTTTTAGTCAAACTATCGGTTTTTATGGGGCACAATAGATCGTCTAGGTCGCTATGCACGATCCCTTTTTAATAATAATCGGTTCGTATTAAGTGACTAATAATAAATAATAAATAAAATTTTAAAACATCCTGTTTAACTTGTTTCGGTTTGGCGAAAAGTTTGCTTTAAATAGGTTCATTTTAAGAAAAAGTACTGTATATATATTATATTTTTATGTATGCATTTTTATTATACATATATGCATACACACATTTAAAATATTAGCACACATATAACTATAATAATATATTTTAAAACTTGAAATAACGTAATGTAATATATACATTTTAGCTTTGATGTTAATTAAACATAAATAAATAACGTTTTGTGAAATTATAACAAATTTGTATTATATTATAATAATATGTAAAATAATTTTAAATTAAAAATTTTTGTATTATTAAAATAATTTATAACGTTAATTATCGGTTTATGGGTCTTATGTATATAGAAAAATTCGTGTATAAAAATTTACTATTTTTACTAAAAACCATTATATTTTTTATATAAAAACTCTAAATAAGTTATTAATTATTAAAATCACTTAATTAAATATTATTAATTATAAACAAAAATATTCATTAATTCCTTATAATTTTTAATATAAGCAAAATTATAGTAAATTGTTTGAATTAATTAGCGGATGATATTTTAATAAATTTGTTTATAATTATAATCTCTCATATGAATATATTTATAAAGAATATTATTTTAGTTTATTTTATTATAGTACAGCTTAAATAATTAAACAACATATTTTTGAATTTAATATTAAAATAAATAAATAACCTCAAAAGTTATTTTATGCTTTTTATTTTGAATTAGTAAAATATATTGGAGATTCTGATTTTTATCATACATTTTTAAATTATTTTTCAAACTTATGAGAGTATAATTAATTATACCCAGAATTTTAATCTACTTCTTCTTAGTGCCTTGTTCGTTTCAAACGTTAGCTAATAGGTGATTCTACCAAACGATATTATCCTCCCGGAACCGCGCTTCACTTCTATTCTATCTTCTATGATCAATTTAATTGGATCGTACTGCTTTGAATATCCTAGAATATGAGAAAAGTATTTTTTTAGTCGTTTTAAAATCCTCAGTATCTCTCTCTTATTTTATTAATACCTAAAAGTTCGACTTAACTTGTGTTATACTGAGTTCAATTATTTTTCCATTCGGTGGACCTCTTATTCTATAGCGGGCGACTTTTAACTGAGTCTTTCAGTAATATTTAAATAGGAAAATGCCAGGTGATAAACTAAAAACTTTTCTGAAAACATTGTGTCATTTATTGACGGTTACCGTACTCCGCAGTTAAATTGCCATTGGGTAAACATTTAACCGAAGTCCCATTCTATTACAATTTAAAAGATTTTGGTTTAGCAAAATTTCTACACACATGCGAAATAAAAATAATAAAAATGCCTGTCCATAATAAAATACATTCAGCAGCTCTATCTAATAGAATTCTACCTCCCATATCATCACTAGAAGTTTGATTGCCAATTATATTTCTGCGCAACATTCATCAACCCAAAGGATAAGTGTGCAACGAAACTAAACAAGTGTCAGGAAATTGATGGCAAATGTGATTAAAGCTACAATTCTAAATGAAAAACCGAAACAAGATATTGTTCTGATACCATCTCTTCCAATACCTCCCAAACACATGCCATTTTGTGAAGCGACTGCAGTATCCTGTGCGTCTTCAATTCCCAATGACCAAAAATATATCACACGGTCAATCCGTGATTTTGTTATTCCTAGTTTGCAACACAACAAAAAACTTAACTTTTTGCATACAACAAAATAACCCGGGTTATGGATTTACTAAATCGATAAATAAGCCACTTTATAAATTTTCAAATAAAATTATTTGGTTTCTGTAAATAGTAGCAACGCACACAGAATACTGCTAGTTTTATATGTATACATATATACATACATAAATTTCATATTCGAAAATCTTAAAACTGAAACAGAGTAAGCTAAGTTTAGTTACTCGGTAATAAATTAAATTTTATTTAATAATATTTATTTTAAAATTATTATATATAAAAACCGGCAAGTATATGTTTTGAATGCGTTTATAACAAACATCGAAATATCCACTTATAAGATTTTATTTAGAGTGTCTTATATACTTATCTAAATAAGTATGGATAAACAATTTGTCGAAGCAAATATAGAAGAACCACAAGAAATAGATGTTCCTCACGCCTCTGATAATATAAACAGCGAAAAAACCGGTATAACAATATTAACTAATAGAGAGCATAAGAAGACACCGAATTATATTGTACCACCTTATTTCATAACTCCTTTGATGTCCTACAATGAGGAACGCGAAAATAACCTTGTTTCTCTAAGGCGTAATCCCCCTCTAAGAGAACATTATAATACGTACTTGAGTTCCGTACGGCACGGTGATGCAAAATTTCAATTATATAGAGAAACAATACGGGAGTAAGTATCAATTTTAAAAACTTTATAACTATTTGCATATTGTATTTATTACTTTTGTTATTTAGTGATAATAAACCAAATCCTCGTAAGTATTCCTTGAACGGACAGTTTTACGATTCTATGAATAGACCATGCCCTGTTCCGTATTTGCCCAAAATTACAGAAAAGTTTCCGAGGATGAGTCCAAAAAAAAAATAAAGATGTGCAATATAATTCGAGGTGCTAAACATAAAAATATATATTTTGTTTGTATTTTTTATATACACTTTCATAAATGCTTTCATTATTTATTTTAATAAAAATTTATCAATACATTTTAGCCTTTACAATCATAGTTAAATTAATAAGAATTAAAACAGTTTTTGTAAACATTTCGTCTTATGATATTATCACAGTTTCGTTTTATAAATGATAATTTGAAAAACGTTTTATAATTGTTTACACAAACGATATAATTCTCACAGATTTCTGGAACACGGTGTTTTAATTAAGAACATCATTCTGACAGCGTTAAAAAATTATTTAAACATATGAAAAGCAGATATAAAACATAGACTTGTATTATAGGACACAATAATTATGAACAATTGGTTTGCGAAAAGGAATTTTCTATAGAACATTTTAAAAATATTGTAAAAAAACAAATATTCTTAAGAGTTAACTCTTTCATTTCATATAAAGTCACAAAAACTATAATAATAGTAGAACGGATGATGTCAAGATTATTCATTAATCAGCAGTTTGTCGAAAGCTCCTACTCTACTTGTGTTTCTGGTTGCACATGAAAACGATTTCCATACTCTGATCGTATGGATAAAGAAAAAAATTGTAGTGGAAAAATAAATAAAAGAGATATATATTTGGTCGTAATTTAGCATTAACCAATTTGAACAGAAACAGAACCGAATCTTCATAAATTGTTCAATGTCGCAACCTAAGATTGCATTTCTAAAACTACTCAGGTGATTATATCTTCTGAGACCGTATTCTTTCCTTCATTATTATTAAACTAAAACATTAAAGGTATTCACTCTGTCTTGCAATGCGCACGAAATACAAGAATGCTATACTAAAATTGCATCCATATGAGAAGCAAAAGATGTCAAAACACCTTTTTGTTTCATAATTGTTTCGTTACAATCCTGTATTTTATTGTTATTGCAAAGAGTTTTTACTTTCACTTAATCAACTTTATTTCTTATTATCAAAATACATCGGCCGAATATAAAGCGGCAGCATTAATTCATAAAGATTTATTTTGAAGAATAAAAAATTACCCACACAAGGCTGAAACTTGCAAAGTCTGTTGATGTTACCAAACAGTTATTTCCTCTATAAACAAAGTTACACAAAATATTTGAATATTCGTTATGTTTCACATTAGTCAAATAATACATCCACAGCAAGCGAAGTATGCAATCAGTGTTTGACAGCTGAGCAACAAGTTTTGAAGTGTCATAACAAAAGCCATTCATAAGCTATAATTATACAAAATAAATTTGTAAAATATTGTGTTTCATTTAAATAAAATAACATAAATATGGTAGTGTGATTTATACGTTGAACAGTTCATTTTTATATAATAAGCAGTCAGAAACTGTTTATTTGATTAAAAATTGGCATGCGTACATAGTTATTTTGCATGTAAAATAAAATAATTTGGAAAAGTATATAAAAATAATTGCACTAAATATTTGTTTATCGTAAGCGAAACAAGATTTTTTATGGAGAGTCAACTAGATAGTGAAAATTACTGGAATGTATCAACCAGAAAAGCATTTAGCTTTGATGACGATGATGCCAGTAATGGGTTTTACGGTACCTCAACGAGTTCTAACAAATGGAACCCTAGCAACATTCTGAGCGATGATATCTCCGAAGCAAGCTTCGATAATAGTACCGCCGCTACAAGCCTAAATTTATCTATTAAATCAGTTATTTCTGACGATGCATTGGAATTAATTTTGCAGGAGCAAACTTTAGATGATCGCCTCATAACAAAAGGTGTGAGCCCAGATGAAGAACTGAAATTATTGAGAAGGTTAGTAATAATGTGTATAATTAATATTGTTTCGATGTTCAAAACGCTTTTCATATAGACAAATTCAAACAACGCTTTTTAATCCATCACCGGAAACAACAGCTTCTAGACTGCTCTTGGGTAAAACAGTGCCGCTGGAGGTATTTAAGTCTATGCATGAAAAAGAAGAGTTATTAGATAATGTGTTAAGCAACGGTGGTGGTGATGCAGTAATTGGTGTAGTTTTATTTTTAAAGAAAACGCTGAATACGAAACATTTTCATGCAATCCTGCAACATCGACCGAAAGTGTTGCAGCAATATATCAGCTACCTTAAGCAAAGTAATCCAAAAGAAGCAGTTACTTTGTTAGAAACTTTCGGCAAACAACAAGAAGCTACATTACTAAAATTCAAAAGCGTTTACACATCCAATGAGCTGCAAGTACGGAAACAATATTTACAGCAGTTAGCACGGAACAACAGTGCTGGTTCCAACAGTTTATTTCAACAAATATTCCATGCTACGTTGAAGTTACTTGAACTAATAGAAAAAGAGCGTAATTCTCTAGACAATTTAGTGCATATGGACTCCACACCAGTTGAAGTGTTATACGCATGTTGCCAAAAATATAACAATTGGAAAGAACAAGATTTAATTTCTGTCCTGTCGCCTTTTCGCATTAGCGCAGAACAACAAATTTCCGCATCACAATTCGAGTGGACTGCTTTAAACGAACGTGCAATATCACAAGCTTATGGTGATTTAGAAAGTGTTTTTGAACGCCTACCCACATGGAATCCTATAAAACAAAAACAATTCCACATAAGCTTTCCCCTGGATGCAGCAATTGTACGTCTATTTGAATTGAAGGCACCTTCGAGTGTTTTATATTTATTTTTATCAAAAATAAGTAGCTCAACGGAAAAGCTGGAATTAGCACAACGTGTTAAGTGTACTAAAGCTGCTATTGATGCCATGATTGGGTTAAAGGATATAAACCAACTTACACAATTAAAAGATTCATTACCTGAACGTAGCGAGGAACAATTTTACTGTGATAGGGCAATAAAAAGCTTACAAACTAAACGCTGGTCAACTGACAATATTAAACTGAAACTTTAATCTTTTTAATAAGTGGCTGTCAATTCATATAGTAAATATATCAAGAAGTTTTTGTAAATATTACAATAGTGTATAAGTATTTAAATATTTTTAGTATGTGCGTAGCATAAGAACAAAAAATACAAAAATTTCTCATTACATTAAACTTTACTTGTTTTATATTTTGAAACACAGCAAAGCAAATTGATTTGTTTTCAGATTTTCTAAATTGAAAACAAAAAATATATCAATCTTTAACAAATAACATACGTTAAATAAAACTTTATATTTCGTTTCACATTTATAACTAAAGAAAAAATTAAATCTTTTTAAAATGTATAAACGATACATTGAGCCCGTTATGGAAACAGCACAAGAAATTGTTCTGCCTTCTACTGCAGATGTCTCTGACGAAAAATCGCAGCCTAAAAAAAAGGATGTGAGGGACTATCCTAACTATGTTATACCGCCTTATACTATCACTCCATTGATGTCATTCAACGATGATATTGTAAATATGCGTTTGTCCTTAAGACGTAATGCACTTCTCTCAGAACATTGGAATGCATACCTGTGTACAAAACCACCACCAACTGCACGTTTTCAGCTGTACAGAGAGATCCTAAATAAGTTAGTATTAAAATTTGTTAACATGTGTACTTATTATAATTACTATTTTTAGGAGCAGAAATCCCCTACCTCGTAGATTTTCGT